TTTGAGTCTTTTTGTACATGATGACAGACTCCTGTATCGTCTGCCTGAGGGGACTAGATGGAAGAGTCCTTGTGCTGGGTGGGTGTGGTCCTTCATGATGCTGCGTGCTTTACGCAGACATCGGCTGTGGTAGATGTCCTGGATGGTGTGGAGACTGCTACCAGTGATGTCCTCTGCTGTTTGCACCACCTCTGTAGAGCTTTCTGACTGGTGCCACCCTGTGATGCAGCCTGTCAGCAGGCTCTCAGTGGTGCACCTATAAAAGTTGGTGAGGATGCTGGTGTTCGTACCAAACTTCTTTAGTCTTTTTAGGAAGTAGAGTCTTTGTCGGGCTTTCTTGACCACAGTGTCTGTTTGTAAAGTCCAGGACAGCTCCTCAGTATGTGAACGCCGAGGAACTTGAAGCTGCTGACCTCCTCCACCTTAGTGTTGTTTATGTAGATGGTGGAGTGTTGACCTCCACGCTGTTTCCTGAAGTCCACTATTATCTCCTGTGTTTTTCTGACTTTTAGAGAGAGGTTATTTTCCTGACACCAGCTGGTCAGTGATTTTACCTCATCTCTGTAGGCGCTCTCGTCATTGTTGGTGATGAGGCCCAAGATGGTGGTGTCATCAGCATACTTGAGGATGACGTTAGAGCTGTGCTTGGCGATACTGTCACGTGTAACTAGTGAGTACAAGAGTGGACTGAGGACACAGCCCTGAGGTGTACCTGTGGTCTGTTGGTGAGGAAGTCCAGAATCCAGCAGCAGATGGAGCTCTCCAGGCCCAGTGTGGTGAGCTTGGAGGGGATTATGGCGTTGGTGTTATATTATTATTATTATTATATTATTTTTAGTATTACTGCATTGAATTGAATTGTATGAAAGAAACAAAAATAAAAATAAATTTAAAATGTTATTGTAATTTAAGTGATTGGAACCAAGAAACTTACTTTAAATAAGTATTCCTAAACTGGAGGAACTAACTAACTAATGACTCATAGTACAATTTATTTGGACTGAAAACAAGCTTTTAAACTTCATTACCTTTTTAAACAGCTGCAAGTCAACAACACACACACACACACACACACACACTCGAGGATCACTGTGTGTGGTCTGAAGCTGAGGAACATCCGTCAGACAGATAGCTGCAACAACCGCCTCCTCCTCCAGGATCAACAACAGAAACTGAAGCCAACCTCACAGACGGTGGACAAAGTCCAAACACAACCACCACGCCGGTTCAGAACCCGGATAAGAAGTGAAACGTTCTGCAGTCGGGTTCTTCGGCTCCGTTGGCATCACGGTTTCCCCTGTCAGGACGAGGTGAGACCTCAGGCTCGAAGCAGACGGCGACGTGCAAATTGGATGCAAATTTAGCAGAAACAGACGAACTGTTGGAGACTAACCAAGAAAAATGCAGATTTGAAGAGTAAACCCAATTATCCAGCTTGGTTTACTGTAATTTATGTAAATCTAAATGTTTATTTTCTGCAAATGGATCCAGAACTAAAGAAAAGCACATTTTATTAAATATGAGCCTAAACTTTCAGGCTGATTACGTCTGATGGGCGACACAGCCACACAAATCTTCAGAAGATATATATGTATATATATATGTATATATAACTTATTTATCTGATGCAGCCTTGTACGGGGAGAAAAGAGTCACTACTTTAAAGCAAAAAAGAAAAATATGAGATCAGCGTTTCCGTCTTCAGATGTAACAGTCCTTCAGATCAATGAAACCCCGACTTTCATGAACAAAAACTTCTTTTTTTACGCTATAACAACACAAACAAAAGGCCCCACGCTGGAATAAACAACACAACGAATCATTTTCTGACCTGTGGAGAAAGATGCTGTAGTTTAGTTCGTTCGAAGTTTTAAAACCTATTCACATTCTTGTCTTAACTTTTATTTAAAGACTAGATTTAGACGCTTTTTTTGATCCTATAAATAAATAAAAATCTCCAATTATAAGGCACCTTTAAAATAAAAATCATACGATTACAGAAGTATGTTACAAGAGGAAGCTTTGAAGTGTGTTCAACAAGAAAGAATGACAAAATCTGCTTAAAAACGGTCAAATTCATCTTGTTTTTTTAAACTTATTTTACAATTGCCTACACACTAAAATAAAGATTTTTCCACAAAAAACAAAACTTTACACTCAGCCCAGAGTTACACAAATATAAGCGCAATCAGCCTCACACTAAACACATTTATCTACTTTAAACTGAAATAGTTCTTCTTCTTGCGACGACCGTCTTATGAGCACACCTATGAACTCAATAATTACCATATTTTTCTGACTTTAAGGCGCTTTAAGCGAAACAAAACAATCAGATAAGTCAAATTTATTCATCTCATTCACAATAAACACATAAAATCAGTAAGCACAACCAGAATTCATAGATAAGGTGCACCTGATTATAAGGGTCTCTGTTGATTTTTGAGAAAATTAAAGACTTATCGTCCGAAAAATACGGTAAAGACGCCCTCCAGGTGTAAACACGAGCGTGCTGATTGAAAACACACCGATCAGGTAAAGGACTGCGACGATGCAGCGTCTGTGCAGGGATGGATTCAGCACGCAGGAACGCTTTTCCCATGATGCTTTGCAAACGAGGGACTGTTTTTAGTATTTTTCTTGCTGGTGCTGTAATCGTGTTGGTCTAATTTATTTAATTGGTTTTCTTTTATCTTTTCAGATGAACACATCAATGTAAATGATACAAACATGAAAAAGTAGTTAGATTACTTGATCAATGAGTGTTTTGTATGGTGACGAAATATATCTTTAATAATTTAGATTATCGGTTTAACGAAAACGTTTCGTTTTGCGACAGATTCGAAGAGTTTGACGAGCTGTGCGACTCGTTTAGATTACTTTATAATTTTAAGTTGCATCTGTTCTGCGGACACTCACCTTTAGGCTTTAAAGAATGTTTTCCAAAGAGAATTGAATGTTTTAACAAAACTCAAAGAGGAAAACTCTCATCAAGTGTGAAGCCCAGCTGCCCTTCTGCGTGAAATGATGATTTATTATGGGATCTTCAAACTGTGCATGTTTAGTTTTAAGACTGTCGTGTTTTCCAGAGTTTATTTTTTCTCCGTCGTGTGGAAAAGATTCAGGGTGTGATGATGATGATGATGATGGTGGCAGCTGTTGAGTCACACTGCTGGTGAGATTACTGTTTCACACTCTCACCCTCCGGCTGTCTTCAAGCATCTTCACACATCGAGATGAGAACGAAAACTCTGCGTGACGGGACCTCGTCCAACCAGATGAGCTTCACCTTCAGAAAGAGGCTCGTTTACCTGCTGAGGAGCTGAAGAACATCTCACCTGTGTGACCTGAGTGACCTTCTCCGTGACGTTCTGGGTGCGGTCTTTCATTTTGCTCGGCGCGATGATTTCGATCTCTGAGGGTGAAGGAGGCCTCAGCCGGTCCGACCCGAACGTCAGGGTGACCTGAGGGATGCGGCTGACGGTCCTGTGCCTCACCAGGTCCGAGTCCGAGGTGGAGCTCAGAGCGCTGGACTTCAGATCTACAACGAGAGAAAGAAGAAAATAGTTAAAACTATGTAATAGTCTGATCTAAATCTGCAAAAAATAGCAGCTAAAATTAAATGTAAGCATATTTTAGCTTTGTAGAAACAAAACATTTCAACTAATCCATCAGATCTGTCTGCCTCAAATAAACAACATGGAAATAAAATAAACTAGAGGAATTGTATTTCCTGCGAAAATGCTTTGTGAATGCTTATTGCTGAAGAACTTGCTGAAAAACAGCTGAAATGTAGCTGAAGTGGAAGAACAAGCTTGTTAGCAAAAGATAGCAGAAAGAACACATACTTGCTGAATTTGGTTAAAAAGGTAGAAATGAGCACAAAATTTAGTAAATTATTTTAAAAAGGCTGAAATTGGCAAAAATAGCTGAAAAGTAGATAAAACAGCAGAAAGATGCTTAAAATACCAGAAGATAGTAGAGAGAGTACAATTGTGCCCAATTAGGCTGAAAGAAGCAGAAATAGCGTGAAAAAAGCTGAAATGAGCAAAAATCATCTGAAAAGTAGCTAAAAAGCAGAAATAAGCTTAAATTACCAGAAGGAAGTTGAGTGAACACATTTTTTGCTGAATTAGGCTGAAAAGGGTTGAAACAAGTGCAAAAAATGAGGAATTAGCTGAAAAGGCTAAAGTTAGCATAAAACAGCTAAATAGTAACTAAAATAGCAGAAAAGGTTGAAACTTGCAGAAATAAGCTGAAATGAGCATAACGAGCTGAAATTAGCCGAATGAAGTTAAAAGAAGACCAAAACTTTTGTTGTAAGCAGAAAGAATCTGAAAAGAGCACAAACAGATGAAAAACAGCTGAAAGTAGCTGAAAAAATAGTTTAAATTTGCACAAGGAAGCTGAAAGAAGCTGAAGCAGAACAAAATGTGGAAGGAGCAGTAAAAGGTGGTAAACAGATCTGAAGATTTGAAGGATTTAAAATAAGCTCAAATCATTTTCTATGAAAGAAAAAAGACAGAAAAGGCTAAATATTTCAAAAGGCTAAAGTTGCACCAATACCAAAAGTCAGAGCACCCTTCTCCTGAAGGAGCTGAACATTTTGAATGTTAAATAGTTTGCTGAAATAGCTGAAAACTGCGGAACGAGAAAGATGCCAAAAAATGTACAGAATAGGGACAACTAAAATAAATGAAAACAGGATCACAATAGTGTGAATGCAGCATTCACACTATTATTTATGTATTAACCTTTATTTAACCTGGCAAATCCCACTGAGATCACAAATCTCTTTCAGATCTCTTTTTATTAGTATTACTGGGTACAGTAAATTAAACAGAAATCTCGAATTCTGCAGCACTTTTATACAAATCGTTACCTTCAAACCGACCTCTTTTAAACTATTGTTTACATACAGTTAAATTAAAAGTATCCAATAAAGGGCAAAGAAAGAAGAATCTGCAAAAAAAATAAAATTCAGGCAACAAAAGCATGAGGTTATGTTTTGGTTAGACGGTTGCAACATTTGAGAATGTTTCCAAAGTAAATTTTATGGTTTAAAAGAGTGGTTCCCAACCATGGTCCTTGAGGAACACCATCCTGCATGTTTTAGTTGCACCTGATTTGAATGAACGGGTAATTAACAGGCTTCCGCAGAACTTGAGGAAGTAATTAAATCACTGAATGAGGTGTGTTGGAGCAGGGAAACAACTAAAACATGCAGGAGGGTGTTCCTCAAGGTCCAGGGTTGGGAACCACTGGACGATACTGGGACACTCACTGGGGTCTCCTGGTTGGCTATTCCAGTCCGCCCTCATCCCATCGATGTCGTCCAGAGACGAGGCGCGCCTCAGGCTGCGGACGCTCTCCCTGGAGCAGCTCCGAGGTATGGACCCCCGGGTAAAGGCGATGCTGGGGTCCAACCGGTCCGTCAGCAGGGAGCGCCGTTTGGTGAAGGACGGGGCCACCGGGGAGGGGGGGTCCAGGTCCTGCTCAATCAGAGCCTCGGTCTCAGACTGCATGCAGCTCTCCTTGGAGGGGATCCGAAACTCTTTCAGAGGAACCTCCTCACTGTTTGGCTGCGAAACACAGAGGGGCTAAATCTGCAGTTATTGTGGTTAATCCCTAAAATTATGTCAGATTAGCAGAAGCGCTCAACACGTGTTCTGACTTTTAAACATCCTGGTGTTTACGACTGTTCTGTGCCTCAGGGAAAAGTTGCTGAAACAGAAAACAAGGGGACTTCCTTAAAAACTTGTAAATTCCAACCGTCCCAACAGACATATTCGCCCGTCTCTATAAAGCGGTGTGAATATTAACAGGAAGTGCCACCGCGCCACGTTCGATTCTTTAAAACACGAGAGTAATCTAAACAGAAGAGAGGAGACAGATTCTGGATCGGCCGTGTCTCCCCGCTGCTGTTTTGTTTTTAGCTGAGAAACGTCCTTCAGTTTCCAACAGCTGCTGGAGGCAGAGCAGCAGAAATGATCAATGAAATCTCGGCTGTAAAAATAAAAACTGGACGCAGAACAGTCCGCTTGTCCTCGTCATGTCCTGTCTCATCCGTCCCACCGCCTCACCTGCAGGTAGTCCACCACCACCCCTTCACACTGATCTTTGGAGAGCGAAGGACGTCTCAGCGAGTGGAGGACCGGCAGCCTCATCTTCAGCCTGCGGTTCTGACCTGCAGAGGAGAAACCTTCAGCTGATCCAAGGACAGCTATTATCAGTGTTGTGTGCAAATGCTAGGTTTCCTTTTGCTACATTTAGCTATCTTTATTACTACCTTCAGGTGTTAGCAAGCGTTTTGCTACTTTTAGCTCTCCTTTAGCTAAATTCAGCTTCTAGTTGTTGTTTTGCTATAGCTAACTTTTTGCTGCTATGTTTAGCTTTCAGCTAGCTTTTTGGTACTTATAGCTTCAAGCATGCTAGCTACATTTACTGGCCTTTTACTACTTTTAGTTTTTAGCTAACATTTAGCTGATTTTAGCTAGTGCATCACAACTTTTAGCTATCCTTTTGCTACTTTCAGCTACTATTTTGCTACTTTTAACCAATTAACCAATTGCGACTTTCACTTTTAACTAACCTTTGGTTATATTTAGCTAGATTTTTTTCCTACTTTTAGTTATTACCTAACATTTAGCTGCTTTTAGCTAATCTTTTGCTACTTTTAGTTTCTAGATAGTTTTTTATTACTTTTCCTTAACCCTTTGCTACATTTACTGGCCTTTTACCACTTTTATTTTTTAGCTAACATTTAGCTGCTTTTAGCTAGTGCTTCACACCTTTTAGCTATCCTTTTGTTACTTTCAGCTTCCAGCATTTGTTTTACAACTTTTAGCTAGTTTGTTCCATTATTTATAGGCCTCAGCGAGCCTTTTGCCACTTTTAGCTACTATTTTGCTACTTTTAGTTATCCTTTTGCTACTATTAGTTAGCCTTTTGCTACTTTTAGATTCTAGATAGGCTTTTAATACTTCAATCTGACCATTTGCTACTTTCACTTTTTACTAACGTTTTGTTATATTTAGCTAGCATTTTCCTACTTTGAGTTTTTAGCAAATATTTATCTATTTTAGGTATCAACAAAGTCCATGCTCTTTTCGGTATCATTTTGCTACTTTTAGCTTCTAGCTTTTGTTTAGTTGGTTTTAGTTTTAGTTTGCTTTTTGCTGTTACTTTGAGCTTTCAGCTAGCCTTTTGCAACTCATAGCCATTTCATGCATTTAGCTAGGTTTTTGCCACTTTTACATTTAGTGTTTAGTTACTTTTATCAACATTTAGCTAATTAACATTTTTTGCATAAAAGTTAATCCACTGCTTCTTTTAGCTAGCATTTTGCTATATTTAGCTTGCATGTTGTTTATTTTAGCTTTAGCTCTGTTTTGCTGCTTTTAGTTTTTTAGCTAGCTTTTTGCTACTTTGAACTTTTTTCTACAAGTTAGTTACTTTAGCTAGCATTAGCTTATTTTAGCCTTTAGCTAATGTTCTGCTTCTTTGAGCTTTAGCAGCTCAGTCAGTTTCAAATGAGCTACAATGAACGTTTATCCTTTCTTTGTGATTACAGCTGAACAAAACAACAGTAAAACTTGATAAAAAGGCGGAGTTTGATTTTAAAGGAGGATTTACAGTAAAGCCATCCTTGGGCGACCCTCTGCCTGAAGGCGGACTTCTTCAGTGACGGATCGATGAGCTCCTGGAAGTCCAGGATGAACATGATGACGAGGCCTTCTTCGTTTTTGACCGGCACCACGTCCACTCGGCATGGGAGGCAGATCCCTGTGGAGAGGAAAATGATTTATTGTGCGCTCCAGGGGGCACCTGGATTTGAACCAGGGACCTCTTGATCTGCAGTCAAATGCTCTACCACTGAGCTATACCCCCACAGGAGCACAGCTGTGACATTTCAGTCAGGTCTAACTTCTTTCTGTCATCAGTGGGCTAAAAATAGAAGGAAATAGGCTCAAGTGTGCAAACACACACACTGGACCTCACACACACACACACGCACACACTGGACCTCACACACACACTGGACCTCACACACACACACACACACACACTCCGCCTGAGCTGAATCACATCACATCTCATTTGTTCACTCATTTCGCTGCTCGGTCAGCCTCAGAGCGCATTACGATGCAGGAGATAAAACAAATAGATGCTCGGTGGATCTGAGCGGCCTGATGAACTCATCGCCATGACAACAGTGCAGCAGACTGCACGCCTGGAGTTCAGCGTGTCTGTGTATGAGTGTCGACGGTGAACGTTTCCGAGTTTACGTCCTGCGTTTGTTTGCCTCAGTGGTGAAAGATAAAATTCATCAACAAGGCCGGACTTTTAAAAAGTAACTCCGAGTTGTTTCCTAAAAGACTTCTTAATGACGGCCGAAGGGGCCAAAACCATCAACAGGCGTTTAACAATAACAGAAAAACGAGCATCGTCTGCGTAAAGACAGAGCTAATGAAGCTAAAACTGAGACGTTAGGGTTAAGATAATCAGATTAAAGTAAAGAATAAAGGTTAAAATCAGAAAACAGTAGCTGAAGGCTAACCCTAGTTAAAAAGTAGCTAAAAGTTAACACAAGCAGAATAGAAGCTAAATGCTAAAATTTGCAAAATAGTATATAGAAAACAAAGTGTGAACAACAGTAGCTAAAAGCTAATGCTAGAAATACTGTAGCTCAAATCTAAAACCATGAAAACAGTAGCTCAAAGCTAAAACTATCAGAACCCTAGCTTAAAGTGAATCTAGCAAAATAGTAGCTAAACACTAAGAAAAGCAAAAATGTTGCTAAAATAAAAAGAAGCAGGAAAACATAAGCTGAAAAGTAAATTTAGCAGAACAGTAACTACAAGATAAAACTAAGACTAGCTAAACCAAAGCTAAAAGTTAAAATCATTAAAACAGTAGCTGGAACCTAAAATGATTAAAAAAAAAGTTGCTAAAAGCTACAGTAAGCAAAACTACAACAACAATTAAATCTAAAACCAGCACAACAGTAGCTAAAAGCTAATCTAGCAAAACAGTATTTAAAAGGTAAAAGCAGGAAAACTGAAGCTGAACGCTAAAATATTCAGAACAGTAGCTTGAAACTAAACCTAGCAAAACAGTAGCTGAAAGCTAAAAATGAAGAAAGTGTTAAGATTTTATGAAATTTTAATGAGACGAAAAAACATAAAAGTTCAATAAATTTTTTAAATAAAAGTTAAAACCCAAAAATTATAGCTGAAATAACCCAAACAAGCTAAAGTTTTTGATACTGGCATGACTGAAACAGCTGAAATTGTTCTGATGTACTTAGAGCTCAAGAACACGAAGAAACTAAAAACAGGGAAAGAAAATGCTCAGCGTTCACCCAGTTGGAGATTATAAAATGAGATGTTTTATATTGAAGGGATCACGGTGTGCGTTATGAAGCTGAACACATCAGTGGGACAGAAGTGGGACAGATGTGGGACAGATGGAGGACTCTGAGAACTGTCCCCATGACAGTCAAGCTGTCCAGAGGGACAGATATAATGGCGGACAGACGGTTCTTGACAGAAACGAGAGGCTGCAAACCGACTCAGAGATGATTCTGCGTGTTTCAGCTGTTTGTTTCGTCTCACCTTCTTTGGAGTAGAAGAGGATCTCCACCTTACGCTCCTCGGCCCCGAGCAGAGCCTGGGCCAGCTGGGCCAGGGCGTTCTTCTTGGTGCCGGGACCGACCAGGAAGGGGCAGGTGCAGGGCTGCTGCATGATCTCTGCTCTGGTGAAGCCGAACATCTGGCAGAAGCCCTCGTTGCAGTAGATGATCCCACAGTTCTTCATCTGGGCGTTGGCGATCAGAAACCTGCGATCTGAAAGAAGAAGAGGCGTGGTCGTAGAAAGTCTCGTTTTCTTAAAATAAAAAACGCTTCTAGTTTTACTAATAAACCTGTTCTTATTTTTCTGACATCTATATCTGCAGACTGTGCTGTTTTAGCTGTTAGTGTATGTAAACATTTGGCTCATTCAGCCGATGGGTGCCGTGCATTTTTTTCTGTAACTTTTATACTTTTCTAAACATTTTTCTTTATTTACAAATATTTCCCCATGATGAAACATTAAGATTGGAATCTCTTTGAATACATTGTTCCCTAATACATATTTGGCAGACTTGCTTTGCTTTTGCCTTCTTAAGCTACTTTTAGCTTGCAGCCTTTTTCTACATTGAGCTACCAGTTTGCTCCCATTTGATCCAATTTTGAAACTTTTAGCTTTTAAATGATCTTTTGCAACATTTGGCTTTTAGCCATGCTCCTTCCTACAATTAGCATGTAGCTAGAAATGTGGTATTTTTAGCTTTAGTTATATTTTGTTGTTGTTGCTGCATTTTTTTTTTTAGCAAATTTTCTACAACTTTTAGCTTTAACTTCTGTTTTGATACTTTTAGCAACCCTTTTGCTACTTTAGCTTTTAGCCACCCTTTTATACTTTAGCTTTCAGCTATCCTTTTGGTGTGTTTAGCTTTTAGCATCTTTTTTGCCACTTTACTTTTTAACTTGCCTTTTGTTGCTTTTAGATTTTAGTCAGCCCTTTGCTACATTGAACTTTTATATAGTAATTTATGCTTTTAGCTTGTTTTGGCCCTATTGAGATACTATTCTGCTGCTTTCAGCATTTAACAGCTATTCTGATACTTTTAGCTTAAAGCTAGCCATTATGGCCTTTAACTCATTAACGGACCTTTTGGTACTTTTGGCTTTTAGCCAGCCCCTTCCTACAATTAGCTTGTAGATAGAACTTTGGTATTTTTAACTTTTTTTTTTTTGTTCTTGCTAATTTTAGCTAATTTTCTGCAACATTTAGCTTTAATTTCTGTTTTGATACTTTTGGCAATCCTTTTACTATTTTAGCTTTCAGCTAGCCTTTTGATATAACTTTTAGCAACCTTTTTGCTACTTCAGTTTTTAACTTGCCTTTTAGTGCTTTTAGCTTTTAGTCAGCCCTTTGCTAAGTTGAACATTTACACAATAATTTAAACTTTTAGCTTTTTTTGGCCCTTTCTAGCTGCTATTCTGTTGCTTTCAGCATTTAACAATTATTCTGATGCCTTTAGCTCATAGCTAGCCTTTTAATACATTAACTGGCCTTTGCTACTTATTTCAGCTGTGTAGCGACTTTTAGCTTTTAGCTGACATTTTTTAAGCCTTTGCTACATTTAGTTTTTAGCTAGTGAATTGGTGTTTTTAGCTTATAGCTAGCATTTTACTATGTTAGGCTTTAGCTAGTGTTTTGCTTCCTTTAGCTTTACTGACTCAACACTCAAACTCTTTTTGTGAGAACGTGGCTCCTTTAGCTGCATTTGATTAAGTTATTTCAAGTTAGAATAGCTAAATATTCATTTTTCAGTCCCAGCTACAACGTTTATGTATTTTTTTTTTTTACGTTTTATTCAGGTGAACAAAACAGAGGCTGCTCAGACTTTCCTCCGGGGCCTCGTCTTTGTCTTTTTAATGAACGGTTCCTCCGTCTCTCTCGTCAACAACGAGCCGAAGTGGAACTGATGAAGTCCACCATTGAAGGAACGTTATTAGCGTCACATTTGATCCCAAGACGATTGTGAAGGAGCAGGTGGCCCCTTCAGTTTAAAAGCCTCGGTGGCGTCACGGCTCTCAGGTAACATGTGGAACTTACAGCTCCTTGACGTCGGTCAGGGTTCACCTGATCACAAAGCGGTTTCCAAATGAGCCACTTCATCACGACACGCGTCAGTCATTTGACTTCTTTAATTTCATTTGTGTGTTTACAAACTTATCTTTGCTTTTATGTGATGTAACTCGTGTTTACTTGTACTTTTATACAGCCACGTTCTCTGAGGCTGAACACAGTCAGGTACAATGTTTTATTTACTGTTTATAATTTGTACCGTACATTTATTTATTTTTAAGTTTTTGACTAAAACTACTTCTGCCTACTTTGTGCTAATTCACCCCATCCCATTGTGCTAACTTTTACACTTTTCAAAACAATTAATTTTATTTAAAAATAAAATGTCCCAGAGGACAACAGTGAGTTCCCGTTAGTTCCTTCAGAAATAATAATAAATAAAAAAAATCTCATTCTATTTTTGTAAGTGACACTACTTTTAGCATTTAGGTACTCTTTTGCTAATTTACATTTTTGTTATTGTTTACTAACATTTAGCTACCATTCTGCTCCTTTAACTTTTTAACTACAGTTTAGCCTCATACTTGATTTTCTGATTTTAGCATTTAACTGCCATTCTGCTCCTTTATCCTTTTATCTTCAGTTGAGCCATGTTTAGCTACTTTATTTTCTGATTTTAGCATTTAGCTTCTCTTTTGCTAATTTACATTTTTTGTTATTGTCTACTAACATTTAGCTACCATTCTGCTCCTTCATGCTTTTATTTACAG